GTTTATTATTTTTTTATCTTGGTAAATGACATTTGTTTATTTGTTTCGTTGTTGTAGTTACGTAATTTTTGTTTTTATTTTGTTGCAATAAATATAAGACAAATTAGGATAAAAAAAAACAATTGATCATCAAAATAGTTTTGGAATTATTATTTTGTTTTGTTTGTTGTTGTTAGGTGATATTTGTTTTTGTTTTAATGAATAAATGACATAATTTGTATTGATTATCAAGTATGCAAAGCGCGATGTCCCGGAGGCGTCTTTCAAGGTTTCTGTCCATACGAAATATTAACTATTTACTAAGTAAGTTTACTTTTTATCTTTGTTATTGTCTTTATTAGTGTTTTTAATGTTGTTTTGAGCAATTTTATATATTATTATTTCTCTCACGACGCATTAACATTTGGAAAATCTGCTTACTTTTTTCGATAAGTATAAAATTTACTTAATAATTTATCATCAAAAATTGATGAATAATTTAAATGTATATTTATTTATAATTTGTCTATGTTTTCTACTTGACTTAATCAAAATTGTTGGATAATTTGTTAATAAATATTTTTTGTACAATTTGCATTATATTTGTGCAAATTTCTACGATTTAGATAAATCAAGTATTGCTTTAATAAATGATTAATAAATAAACTGCAGATTTTAATAGATTTGCACAAATTATTAAATTTATTTCTAACCTTGTCAGTAAATCTTCTATAATTTGATATATTGTGAATCATTTTCTATACTTTTCAATTGATTTTTTTCCTGATTTTATAATAGAAATAACTAATATTAAATTATTGAAAAAAATAATATAAAAATTTTGAGAAATATCGATTTTTTTATATATAATTTGATCCATTTTCAAATTTTATATAAATTTTAATAAATTATGTAAGAAAGAGTAAATCTTCTATAATTTGTTATGTTTTGAATCATTTTATACGTTTTAGATTAATCAAGTATTGCTTTAATAAATGCTTAATAAATAAACTGCAGATTTTAATATATTTGCACAAATTATTAAATTTATTTCTTACCTTGTCAGTAGTGAAAACAACACATTTGTTAAATTTGGGCAAATTGATAATGATAAGATACAATTTAAGACTAAATCAGGTTTTGCACAAAGAGATGATGTTCATAAACGTAAATTTGCGCAAATATATAAATTTATTTCTAATATTGTTAACAATATGTACTTGTGATTGTGGATTGAAAATTCTTATATAAATTATAGAAAGTAAAGAAATCTTTTATGTAGATTAAAATTAATTTGCACAAATGTCTAATAATCATTGTTTTGCATGAAAAAATGCTTAATTTTATAGAAACATAAGTTTATAGTCTATAAATTTGCAAGGAGATTTTACAGAAATTTGCACAAATATTGCTGAGACAATAAACAACAATAATAAAAATAATATTTCGCATTAGCAAATAGTTTATAAACATAAAATTTGCGCAAATTTGGAAGTACAAAATGTTATCAAGTGGTACACGAAAAACAAAAGAGATAATTATAAGTAGTAAGAATAACACATCTGTTAAATTTGGGCAAATTTCTAATGATAAGATACAATTTAAGACTAAGTCAAGTTTTGCACAAAGAGATAATGTTCATACACATAAATTTGCGCAAATATAACAATTTATTTCTAATATTGTTAACAATATGAACTTTTGATTGTGGATTGTGAAAATTCTTATATAAACAATGAAATTGAAGAAATATTTTTTGTAGATTAAAATTAATTTGCACAAATTTCTAATAATCATTGTTTTGCATGAAAAAATGCTAATAAACTTAAATTTTGTGTAAATCTGAGAAGACAAAATTACATCTAATATTAAGAAACATAAGTTTATAATCTATAAATTTGCATGGAGATTTTACATAAATTTGCAAAAATACAATAAACAACAACAATCAAAATAATATTTTACATTAGCAAATAGTTTATAAACATAAGATTTGTGCAAATGTGGAAGTACAAAATGTTATCAAGTGGTACACGAAAAACAAACGAGATAATTATGATCTATGTATTTGCATGCAGATTTGACAGGAATTTGCACAAATATCTGCATTAGCGAATAGTTTATAAACATAATATTTGCGCAAATTTGGAAGTACAAAATGTTATCAAGTGGTACACGAAAAACAAAAAAGATAATTATGATCTATAAATTCGCATGCGGATTTGACACAAATTTGCACATATATTTGTATTAGCAAATAGTTTATAAACATAATATTTGCGCAAATTTGGAAGTACACAATTTTACCGACCTTTACATGTTTAACGTAATTTGATAAACTATGAAAATGCTTGCAGATTTAACAGAAACTTGTACAACATCAACAAAAAAACTAGCTTATTTCTATAGTTATAATCTTTAATGTAAATTATATTAATAAGAAAATTCTACTAAATTGATGTATAAAAATGTAAGAAATGAATAAATATATATTTTTTTTATTATTTTCAGTTGAAAGTTGGGATTTGTTTGGTAATAAATCCGTGTATCGAAATTAAACAAACAGAAGTACGAGAATTCGTATGTTGTATGGAAAATAGAAGCAGAATCAACAAAGAGACGAGATGAACAATGTAAAGTAAAGAAAACTGCTGTAGGATCTTGTGCTGTATCGATGTTTGAAGAAGCAACAAAAAAAAATGGCAAACGTGGAAGTGTAACAACCGTGTGTGGACTTGACTGAATATTTTTAGTCTCGTCAGCTGTGTGCGCGCTCTTTTTTGGCACGCATTCAAAGAGCCACTCTGGCGACCTTCGTCGACCGAAAACATCCTTCTCCTCCTGTTTCCTGCGACTTTTCAATCCCAAAAAACCACAACAAACATACGAAGGATTCGCATCGAAATGAAACGAATCAAATAAATAAACAAACAGAATCAAAAAGATGTAAAAACATTTCAATACAATTTTGAATATCTGTGGGTTTCATAGTAAATTTTTAATCAGTTTTGTACTAAATTTGTTGATGAAGAAATGAAATGATAAAAAATTTGCATATTTTTGAAATTATATAAATTAAGTTATTTTCAATTTTTGATAATTTATATAAAGAGTAAATCTTCTATAATTTGTTAAGCTTTGAGTAATTCTCTACAGTTTGCAATAGATTTTTTTTGTTATTAAGACGAAGAATGAAATAATGTTAAATTATTGAAAATCTTATGCATGTAATCAACAAATTTTTAAATATCCAAAATAATTTCTGAAAAAGTGAAGATTTAAGTTAGAAAAATACTAAAAAAAAATTGATAAATTATGTTAGAAAGATTATTAAATATTCTATAATTTCTTATGTTTTGAATAATTTTCAAGTGATTTCTTCCTGATTTTACAATAAAAATCACTAATTGTTGGAAAAGAGATAGCAAAATTTGAACATTTTCCATATTTTCAACAATATCCAAAAATTTTTAAAAAAACTTAATATTAATGAACAAATAAAGAATTAGTTTTTATTATATAAAGAAACAAAGAGTAATTTTCTATAATTTTTGAAGATTTGAATAATTTTATAGTTTTCAATAGATTTTTTTTCTAAAGATGACGAAAGAAGTAGTATTAAATTATTGAAAACTTTGTGCATATAAGTAATAAGAAATACATGAGAAATATCGATTTTTTTATATAATTTGATCCATTTTAAAAATTTGTAAATATTTGAAATTTTAGTAAATTTTGCAAGAAAGAGTAAATCTTCTATAATTTTATATATTTTGAATCTTTTTCTATACTTTTTCATTGATTTTTTCCTGATTTTTCATATTAATTTATTAAAAAATAATAGAAAAAAATTGAGAAATATCGAATTTTTTATATATAATTTGATCCATTGTCAAATTTTATAGAAATTTAATAAATTATTTAAGAAAGAGTAAATCTTCTATAATTTGATATATTTTGAATCATTTTCTATACTTTTCAATTGATTTTTTTCCTAATTGTACAATAGAATTAACTAATATTAAATTATTGAAAAAAATAATATAAAAATTTTGAAAAATATCGAATTTTTTATTTACAATTTGATACATTTTCAAATTTTATAAAAAAAAATTATAAATTATGTAAAAAAGATTAAAACTTCTATAATTTGTTATGTTTTGTTGCATTTTCTATACTTTTCAATTGATTTTTTTTCCTGATTGTACAATAAAACTTACTAATATTGAATTATTGAAAAAAATAATAGAAATTTTTAATTATCATTATCAAAACTTGTAAATTTTTGAAATTTTAATAAATTTTGTAAAAAAGAGTTAATCTTTTATAATTTGCTATGTTTTGAATCATTTTATAAACTTTTCAATTGATTTTTTCCTTATTTTACAATAAAAATAACTAATATTAAATTGTTGAATAAATAATAGAAAAGAATTGAGAAATATCGAATACTTTTCAATTCATTTTTTTCCTGATTGTATAATAAAAATCACTAATTTTGATATATTTTGAATCATAACATTATATTATTGGAAAAATAATGGAAAATTTTGAAAAAAATCCATTTTTTTTAATATCTAAAATAATGATGAAAAAGAGAAGAATTATTATGTTTACATGAAACAAAGAAACGTTAATAACTTTAAGCTTCGAAGATTTAGGAAAATCTAACAATCTTCGTGTTTGTCGAATT